TATTTTAAAGGTTTTTACTGGAAATTCAGATGGCATTTCGTATGTTACAAACACGTTCAATAGAGATGTCAAAGCAAGATCCATCAGGATAAACCCTACAGCTTGGCACAATTTTATTTCTTTAAGAGCATCAGTTATTGGTCGTCGAAAAGGTGAGCGGACTCAGTCCAATGGAAGTCTTCTGGTAACCCCAGAAAAGTTCTCGCACAATATGCCAGCGCAACAGTGACAAGCTCGAAGTGACAAGGTTTAACCGGAGTTGAAAGTGGCAGTTTTAAATAAAGTTTAAGGATAACAAATTTACAAAATACACGCAAAATAATTAAAATAAAATTCCAACCGGTTGCAAAGCCGTGTAAGGCTAATTTTAAATTTGGTTTTGACCTCTATTGAGACGCTATAATCTTATTCTTTGAATTACGCCATCATAGCTCTCGTCTCGACTCATTATAACCAAGAAAGAAAATACAATTTTCGTCGATGTTCACACACTCTCGTACAAAGAGATGGTTATAAATTTTACCAAAGTGTAAAATTAGAATGAGTAAGCCTGTACTCTAAGTGCGACAGAATTTGCCAAAAAGGGATATCTATAACAGAATCGAAACTTAGCATTTTGTTTCTAATATTGTCCAAACTTTCGTTTCTGTACAGGAAAGTTGGGTTCTCCAGTGTTCACCAATCAAGAAGCCCCTACGTATATCACTGTCTACAAGAACCAGGATGTTATATTAAAGTGTGAAGCAGTAGGTGACACACCCATCACTATCACATGGACACATAAAGGTCAGGTCCTTCAGAGTAAAACAAGCGATACACATCTCAACCTGACTAATGTGAATACGGCTCATGAGGGATTCTACAAGTGCAGCGCTACCAACACTCGAGGAGCGAACAACAAGAACATTTACCTCCATGTCAAAGGTAAAAAAATAACCTGTTTAGATTCAAAATGTAGAAGTCTTATATTTTGATGAGGTACCCAACCGTGTTGCCAGCATCAGACAAACGTTCCTTAGAGTATGGCTTACAGCGAATGTTCTTCATGATTTCTATTAAGATTGCATGCGGTCTCCGATTGCTTAAAACGCATTTTACATACTGGTTTGTTGGGAGACTTATTGTAGATAGAGTTTGGATTAATGAAGAAAACGCCTTTTCTTTAGCACAATTCATGAGGGAGGCACTTACTGTGGCTGTCCTCAGAAAAAGCTAATTCGGGATTGTGCATAGCAATGTTCTTGTCGCACTCAATTRTAATCCTGAGTCCCATACATATTGYGGCTTYCAGTGCTATCACCAATCTKYCATTYAATTTTTGTCTCTTCCCAACGATGTTGACTATGCGAGAAAGTCTCAGCGATCGAAAACATCTGCGACAGCTCGATAATTTTCGTTTCTTTCTCCAATCATCACACTACAATGGATTCTCATTTATCCAACCACYCACACTAAATCGAAATGTGGCCGTATTTACCTTATTAACGGACTGTTTTAACTGAGCAGAAAAGTACAAGGGTTTAAGACGCCTTGACGAAAATCTAGGCGTTATATCGCCCGTGGCCGTGGTAAACGGGTGACCGTAAGTCGGCGCGACTATAGAAATAACTTTCTATAACTATAATTGCATTACACCAGTTGGCATTCTTTTTCATTTCAGGTTCATTTGATATTTGCAGCAATCAGCATTCACTTATCAGTGGTAATACAAGGTTGATAACGAGTTCTGTACCATACGTCAATGATGACAGCAACCTCAATGAGACCATGTGGTAYGTCTTCAAGAGTACTAAAGGGTTCTCTCGTATACCATCAACCTGTGTGGCCCAGAATCACTGTGGAGCTACAGCCCCAGGTTATATGCAAGGAGCTTTACCTACAGTCAGTGAGGGTATTGTGAAAAGAAAGATTTGCTTTCATAATAACGGAGACTGTTGTCAATACAGTGTGGATATCTATGTGCGCAACTGCTACATGTTCTATGTCTACAAACTGAAGAAGTTGGATTCATCTTGGAAGGCAAGATACTGCAWTGAGGACTATATSAATGGTAAGACATTGCTTATTGAAAACAATTTTGAGTTGTACCTTGCATGCTTTATTGATCAGAATTGGCTAGTGGTCATATGGTGCTGTGCTGTAATGCCACGAGGTTTTCGTAGTCGACAGTGTGCATGACATTGCTACTGGAAAACTTGATMAATTTACAACAGAGCCTGTAAATTTACTGTAAATGTCCTTTTACAAACTYTGCAAATTGATTTTAAAAGATATTTACAATGTTTTTCAAGCAAAATGTACAAGATAATGTAGTACAGAACAGTGCAAATGGACATTTTGTTTGTAAATTGAATTAACAGTAATATTTACATTGTATTTACAAACTTTGTAAATTAATAAGCTTTTCCAGTGTGCTACGTTCATGTCATTTTTTCCTTCAACAGACAAGCCAGCCAGGATGTTTCAATCTCTCAATGGACCATCCTTCACCATTCCAAATCAGTTCATCACAAGTCGACTTCATGGCGTGGACAGCGATTCAACTTGCATGCAATATTGTATGMTCGATGACTCCTGCAAATCGTTTAGTTACAACCCCAATGTGAACATGTGTGAGMTAAATAACGCAACTAAAAACCAATTCTCAAATCAAGCGTTACCTCTTCGCCCGGATTACAGATATTTTGATGAAGTAGAAGTAGCGGCGCCCTGAAAGGCGAACTTGCATGTGCAATATTGCATGTGCATGAATGCACATTTGTATAGTTCATTGTCTCATGCCGTGCATGCGTCTACACAATCTTAAGCAACTATTTTCCTCCACGATCATGGTAATTCAACAGAACGGGAGGAAAAAGCGCTTGAAAAAGGATTTTTTATTCGTAGTTTTAACGCAAATTCAATTATCGTCAATGTGTCCTCGCCATACGCTCGGTGTCTTCGCCATACGCTCGGTGTCTTCGCCATACGCTCGGTGTCTTCGCCATACGCTCGGTGTCTTCGCTATACGCTCGGTGTCTTCGCCATACGCTCGGTGTCTTCGCTCGCTCCGATTGCGAAATTTCTGCATATACGATGTATCACCGGATATGTGCCGAATAAGTTTGTACCCCCTTTTTTGGACATTAATGCGCTTGTTCTGTCTACTTATTCTCATCACATCCGGGTACGTTGCGGATACAAATGGACTTTCGTATGCGATTCGTCTAAAGCAATGCGAGGGTGCGATATCCTTGTAACTCATCAAAAGTGCATTACCACTTTAGCCATCTCACTTGATCCGTGGAAATTTATCAGATTTTTATTATTAACCTCAAAGTCTTAGGTGGTGTAAATTTGCATTGATTGACGTCCACTCAAAACCTGTAACCTTACATAAATCRCAGTTCAATAGTTTTATTTACTTTACTTACTCGAAACAAATCTTTGCTTGTACAACCATCTTTATGACATGGTTTGCTTTATACAAACGTTGTTCTCTTTTCTTCMAAAGCTTTGCGAATATTACGTATCTTTACATCACTACAGTCAGCGCCTGTCATGTCTAGAATTGGAATATGATGCTTCTTTGATAAGGCTCTCATCGTATCCTCTTTTGTTAAGACAAGTACATTGTGTATGCTTCTTAAAAGGTGRGAATCAGCGTTTGCTCTGATCTTTTCACTGGTTTTAATAATGACATCGTCAGGTAAAGCGTCACGTATTTTGTGGATGATAGCATAAACTTGCTCTAGATTCCTGATATCAAATATAATACAGAAGACATTAGATATTGAACACAAGATTAAAGGTCATTAGAAAATCTYAACAATTCGTGAATGTGTTTACAGTCTTGACTTGCACTTTCCTGAACTACTATCTGGGAAAATGCACTKCCATGCCGCCTAATACTGATGTTTGGCGATGGTGCTTCTAAAAGTTAAAATGACAACTTGTCTACAAGTTTTGTTGTTGATATTTGCTTTGTCTACACCTGATTGGAAAATATATAAGGATGTCAATTGGATTAGGTTCATTTTTACGTCAACACCTTCTTGGAAATTAATTTCCGAAAAAATTATTTGACGTGAGGTTTGAAGGTTTGCTAGATACGTGAAAGCTTACGGGTGATCTAAAACAATTAAAAGCCCTCATTGGGTTAATGTAAACAATTATAACAGGGCTCGTACTACTTTTTCATTACAAAATCTCATGACTTTTCAAGAACTAAAAATAACCACATTTCAATCCAAAAGCTAAAAAGCAGCATGTCAATTTCATCAGATTCAAGGAGTTTTCCAGGAGYTTTAACGATTTTCCCMATTTTCAAGGRCTTTTMAAGCGTTCTTGAAAACGAGTTTTCATTTCCAGGACTTTTCAAGGATTTCAMGGAGTAGCACAAACCCTGTTATAAATCCTATGCTATACCATAGATGATATTTACCTCGTAAAAAGCTGGATCTCAGTTTGCTGTGCAAGTCCTCCGCTATCCACAACAATCCCTACCCCTTCAATGATGCCCGTGCATTTAGAAGCTGACCGTAGTATTTCTTCTGATTCATTTGTACCGTTACACGTGATTGGAAYCAAGTCCAACTCTTTACACAATGCACCCAACATGTTGAATGGACTGGGTAGATTGCTGATTGATAACTAAGGAAAGAAAAAATACCGAGAAAAAATGAAACCGTGAGAAATAAGTGATTTGGATTATTATTTGAAATCTTATTTCAATAATGTTAACATAGTTGCCGGAGAAAATTTTTCACCACGTGCAGCTGACGTAATGCTGAAGAAAATTCGGCATTCGTTCATTGTGTACGATTTTTGGTATTCATTTTTTTTTTTTTTAATGGACATCCTTTTTTTACACGACTGTATGAAGGTAACGTGTACCGTTTATGTCAATGTACTGTTATATCTGAGCCGTATTATAACTTTTTACACAATGTAAGGTACAGTGTCGTATTGCCTTTTCATATGATGAACAGATTACTACTTACTGTAGTCTCCAGTGAAATCGCTTTAAGAGCTTTCAAATCTCTCTGTCTMTGGTCACTACCATTTTCCTGCGATATTCCCAAATCTCCCCTTATAAGCTGATCAATATCCAARTGAACATAACCACAGCTAATAATTCGCCGCATTGAYAMGTTGTCATGACAATCAGTCCATGATAATGTCACATGWCCAGAAATATTMTTTCCTTTGGARAATGAYGGCAAGGTGGTTACCAAGGCAACACAAGAGTCAAAYGAATGTTCAAGTTTCTTTCTTTTAGAAGATGGTGTAAGGTGCTCGTCACCATGATTGACAGCTACAAGCCTTGGGTTGTTAGAAGCAAAGAGTGTCTGGCATGATGACGTCTGGTTCTCCTTGGAGCAACTTACTAGGGATAATGAAATGTCTGACACATTCCTGAAACAAATACCTCTTATTAGTGAAATTTCGTCTTGCTTCCTGGCAATTTCCTAGATTCAAAAAGGTCACTGATGATCGCTTATATTTTATTTATTCTGGACTTATTCAGGGAAATCTAATTTGAAATTGTTGTATATACGCCATGAAAATGTGACTTGCAGGCCCTGGAATATGGAATACTGATTAATTTTTGGCTTTGAAGGACTTCTTTCATTTTTCCAGTTGAGGTGACGGCTTTGTTTGGGTAGGCATAGTCTCGCAAAATAACAAGGATAATAACAAGTGAAATCGATGTCAAATAATTTCAGTTGAATTCCTATTCTAAGTACCGGAAATAAAGATGGATAATTAGCATAATAATGAGATCCCATAATACACTGCGATGCATTATATCAAGGTACCCTCGGTCTTTTGTCTCACAGTTCCTCTGAACAACCGACCTAACCAGAGCACCGTGGCGAMCTACCCAAACAAAATGGTGGTCAAAACCATCACCCCAACTATTATATTGGTTTCCAGACATGGCATTGTGAAACAGGGCACACTGACAAAATTGTAAATAATATACAAGAATTTGAAATATATCAATGTTTAGTCAAAGTATTGTGTTTTCCATTCTTAACTAAGACTAAATATATAACTAAGACTTGATAAAAGTGGCTCAGGCTGTCAACACAAGAGTGAACATACATGTACATGTACTCTATTACTGTAAGGACACTTTAATATTTGAAAAGCTCATTTTACCTTTTATCAAGATCCTTTAAATCAACACCAATTATCCAATTGCTTCCAATTACTCTCTGCCAAACTTCCATAATCTTATGGCTGATCTCAGGTTGCTTCAATACAGGCCCATTATCTTGCATTTCTTCGTTCCAATTTTCTACAATATAATTCAAGTGACTGCAGTGATATAATTCATACTTTTTTACACCTCAAATGAAACTCTTTTCATTGCCCTGTTRTCTTTTTCTTTCAACAAATTCTCTTTACAAGCCATTATAATATATTTGGTACGATCAGGCTTTAAAGTTACTCATCTAGTAAATAATATAGTCACCTGAACTAGCTTCATCTCCAATCAAATGAACCAAGTTAGAACTCTAAAGATTAAGAATTAAAAGAAATTTCTGAATTAAAAGACCCAAACAATTCTTAGAACCATTGCAATTGCTTGTTTTGTTGAAAGATACTTCTGGATTGGTTCAATCAAAGGCAAACTTTTGTGCAAAAGAAATTTGATTACAAATCAACAAGAAAATTGCAGAATAATTTAGGCTTACCTTTTTGTATTCTTCAATGACTTTCCCCTGGGAACTGTTTCCTACTGTTTTATGCAATATTTTGCAGGTATTGTCAATCATCTGCATCTTGTTATTGTATTCTATTCTCAGCTCAGATAAATTAGATTTACTTTCCTGCACAACAAACACACACAAAAATCAATGTTTATGATAAAATACATTTCTTACTTGTACTGAATATGTGTAGAAAATGTTACAAGACAACACAGCGATTGGTCAATTATCATAGCTGTTATTTCAATATACCTGAAATTGTGTTCTCAGAGCTTGAATTGTAGATAAAATGCATTCACTACTTGACTGGCTTGCATTCAATGAAATTTTGTCTGTAGGACATTCCTTAGTAATCAAAATATCATCATAGTAAAAATCAATCAATTTATAAGATAATATATAAAATAAGTAGACTACTCTGTCTCTGATGAAATGATGGTCCAAACTGCAGTGAATATATGAAACCAGCTTTGTTGGCAAAATAGGTGACAGGGATTATGGCCCATTAATTCCATACTCATTTATTCACCACAGTTGGACCATCATTTCTTCCTTTTTTTTCTTCCTTAAAAGTATGTATATGGGTTCACCCAATGAAATGACTTCTCGCCAACAAAGCTGGTTTCATAGATCAGTTGGTAGAGCAATGCACCATCAATGCAGTGGTCATGGGTTCGATTCACGTTGAATCCCATATTTTTTGGATGATCTATTTACAGTGTTAATAATGGCTTGGACTGTTAGTAAGAGTACAAACATTAAATGTGTGCAACACTTTCCACTATTTACTACAAAATAGTGTTAATTAAACAATAGAAAATAATAGAATTAGCATAGTTTTTTAGCAGTATTTTGTGGTATTTATGTTGCACAGTTTTAGTGTTTGTACTCTACAATTTACACGTAACTGCAACAATAATAATTTCTAACAAATTCTCTGTCTCTGTTGTATGTATTATCAAGCAGAGCAAAAATTGGATTGAAGCATTATCGAAAGGAGTTTGTGCTTGATTCCAAACTAAATAGCATATTATCTAACAATTCCAGTGTAGTTCAACACCAAAGAAGTGGTAACTACCAATAATGGTGGATACCGTCTTACACAACTTGAATATGGCTTAGAAATGTTTTGCACTTTAAAAAGAAACAAGCCAAAGTTCATTACCTGGYCCAGGCCTATTGTCTTCCCATCAAGAGTAGCAAGTAGATAGCCTTGCATGAAGTTTTCTAGACTTGAATTATTTTGAACCAAGCAYAACTGTTTCGTACCATTTTCCAAAAAGTCATCAATTAAAAGAAGTTCTTGATTGGACCATTTATTTACAACCTAGAAGGTAGAAAGTTAGTTGAACTATCAGCAACACTCTGTTAACCTAATGTCTTCATTATAACAGAGTTAATAGCACTGGAAAATACAAATCCACACCTGCCATAATAATGTAACTCTCTAGGAAGTACATTTAAAATAGCTTTAATTGTTAAAATCATTGATTATGGTTTAGTTAAAATATCAATTTAAGGCTATTCTGTGAGTCATTTGCAACAGCTGACAGGGATAATTTTCTGTTTGTTGTTCCTTGCTAATGAAACACAATTAATTTGTTATCCATTAAAATATAGAATATAGTTGTTGGTTGCACACAACTATCTACAGAAGACAACATTGTACATGAGCCTGACACAAGAGCATGGGTTTGAGTTAATACAATTATGCATATAAATGGTGAACAGTTCAGAATGGCCGATATCTATTGTAACTGCAACTACTTGCTATACAATGTAGTTTTTATTACTGCCATTGGAATGACAATAGTACCTTATTCTGTGATAGATTAATCACACAAACTGCGTTTTGTTGAGACTTCACAATGGCACAGGTTGCACTGYTATCTGTCTAAAAGACAAAACATAAGACAAGTATAACATTATTTAAAGGGCTACTTGGACGAAAATTGCAAAACATTAGAAAAGACTTGGAAATCAAATAGAACTATCCATATGGGTCTAATAGCCATGAAGCAACAGATCTTAAGAAGATAATGATACAAATCTTTAATAATTTGGGCAAAAAATGTTGGAGTAGATGACGTCATTTACTCCATTCTTTTGTTCTTCCATCTTTTGAATCAAAATTTCTCTGATTTGGGACAGTTCCAAAACAAATGTTTTCCAGCAATTGTTTTTAATAGATATATGYGAGTCATATATTTGTATTGCTTGAAGTTTTGAAATAAGGCCATTTTCATGCAAGTAGCACTTTAACCATTGATAGTTAAAGGTTATTACATGATATAGCACAACTTTTTTCCATTTGATGGGCAGTTACAAAGATATTGTCAATAGCTTGTTAGCCTGCATCACATCCGGACAAACTACGGTAAGCTAACAATTAATTATCAGAAAAGGTGACATAAATCATAGTTCCTGTGTCATATTTATTTAATATAGTACCTGGGTTATTTCAATCTTGCAGGGGTCATCAAAAGGAAGCTGCCAATGTGACACAAATTTCCCTCCAGTAAATTTGATCAGCTGACCCTTAGTTGTCCCAACATAAACTTCTTGTTTATAACAACTACCATTGTTTGAAAATACATTTAGATTATCTATATTCAGTGCATCATAAATACACAGGCAAGCCAAAATAGATGAATACAAACTTGGGACTATTCCCTGACTTGAATTMCAGCCATTTTCAGCATCAGCGAATATGACGTCTTCTTTAGAACAACAAACAGTRTAGAATTGCCCTTTTGAGTTACCAGACCAAAGCAATGTCAAGTTTKTGGTGATATTATTAGTGAATAAATGCGATGTATATATAAGACTTGTAGATTGGAAACTCCGCCTTAAGAAGTGAATTTTATCATTGCTTATCCACGAAAGACTTGGGCCGTCAGACAGCATGAAATTTGTATAAGTAAAACGTGAGTTGTGGGAGAAGGAAGACACCTTGGTAAGTGTTCTTTCATTTACAAAGAAATAGAAATGCAGAATTGAATTGTTCTTGAAGAGGTGCTGTTCAATTACCAAGCATGGTTGCCTGAGACCCGTAGATGCTTCCACAACACAAGAGAATGCAAGCACTTTGATATCTCCACCCACAATATCAATGTTCAACAGACTTTCTTTCAGTTTTGTAAACTGTCTGTTTTCCTTGTCTAACGCAACTACCGAAGCTTTGATGGCTTGCTTGTCCTGTTTTACAATCCATATTTCACCTCTAAATGCTGTTGCGTAGAGCGATGACATCTCTAGCTAAAGCAATCTCTCAAGAAAGCTCAAAAGCCATGCAAAATTAAGCGACTTGCAGTCCGTTCATATTTTGGTGGGAACTTGTCTTCTTCATTGACCAGCCGCTGACCATAAGTTTCGCGCGTRAAGTTTCGAAAATCTTTTCTTTTTCCCCGAAAAATATTTCCCATTTTTATGCGTATTTGTCTTAAATCTCATTCTTTCCTGTAATGTTTTGTATTTCTACTTTATTTCATTTTATTTTTTTGCATTTTACTGTAGAAACGTTTTTGCATAATACTTTTGCGCTTGCGCATTGTGCATTCGAGCGCACGTGTAACTCTGCAAGGAACGCCTGTCCKAATCGGTGTGCTGTACGTGCTCTARAGTGTCAAAAGTCGTTTCCYGAGACATAAAMCTTCAGTTAATTTTTACATAACTATGGTAAACAAGATGTCGTCTTGTGTCTATCGATTTTACCAAACGCCAGGACTATCTCCTGGAGCCCATGAAGTCATACTTTCGAAGCTCAAAGGCTTAGTTTCTGGCCATGAGATTACGAACTTCGCCACYGAGTTGTGTTTCTACGTAAACGCCGAACATGAGTTRAATGCYGAAGAAAARGAACAACTTCAGCGCCTCTTCAGCAARTCATTTGARACAGATAAAACCTCAACAACTTCTCATCTAACTGCAGAAAGTTATTCGGAGAATTCGCAAAGCAAAGTCATTAAAATTGARATTGGACCAAGRYTGAATTTCTCAACAGCCTTCTCCACAAATGCAGTCTCCATWTGTCAATCTGTTGGATTGCATAAAGTTGATAGAATTGAACAATCAAGGCGTTATTTCATTGAGATTGAATCAAAGCATGGATCAAAGCCATTTAGCAAGGAAGAGGAACAGAAAATGGTTGATGTACTTCRCGATCGTATGACTGAGTGYAGATACCTAAAACCCATTGAGAGTTTCTGCATTGACATYGAACCCGAAGAGTATTATAGTGTTGATGTCATTGGAAAAGGAAGGCCGGCGCTAGARCAAGTRAATAAAGACCTCGGCCTCGCGTTTGACGACTGGGATCTCGACTATTATTCTAACTTGTTTAAAGAGAGAGTTGGCCGTAATCCCACCAATGTAGAGTGCTTTGATTTAGCGCAGTCAAACAGCGAGCATTCCCGTCATTGGTTCTTCCGTGGAAGACTTGTGGTTGATGGAAAAGAAATCGAGAATTCTTTGATGAAGATGGTCATAAAAACACAAGAAACTAGTAATGATAACAATGTAATCAAGTTTAGTGATAATAGCAGGTAAGAATATACWTAAAAGTATTTTCACTTGGGGGTCATCATGATAGAGCTCCTTCCAGCTGTTTCGCATTCCAACACAAGCAGAAACAGAAGCTGGTTCACAGAAGTCTTTTTATGTATGGTTCCCTGCACCATTTTGAAAGGTATCCAATTGCCTTTGTATCCGAAGTGACTAATTGTCTGTAGGTGTGAAAGAAGTTCCCTATCATATTGCACACACAATGGTCACCTCACTTTTAAAAATTAAAAATTAAAAAATTAAAATTTTTTAAAAATTTCACATTTAAAAATTAAAAATTTAATTTTTTTTATAAATTTCACATTTAAAAATGCAAAGGCACAGCTACATTTTCAAGATGGCACAGGGAACTGTGAAGGAGACTAATTGACATAACACACTAGTCAATTGAAACCCCCGCCCCCCGCCCCCCGCCCCTGGGGCTAGCAGGGCACAGAACGCGGACGTGACATTTGATGCCCCGGGGGGTCGGGGTTTTGATGAATTGATTTCGAAGCGGGGCAAACTCGTTTGATCATGTATTAGGCTGGAAAGTAGACGTTCGCCATCTTGAGAAATACCCTGAAGGCATTGGTATTCAACTCCGCTTTTTTATTTGTTTATTTTTCCTTGCATGAATTTTTTATTACACATGTTTTTCTCCGTCCAGTTAGCCACATGTATAGTATTCAAATGAATACACAGGATTATACAAAAATTAACCCTGTTTATCACAGAAAATTTGATTGAAAGGTGTTTGTTTTGTTATTTACTACTACACTCAAACGTTAAATTCCCCGGTATTCAATTGTATGTATGAGTTTATGCCTTATAATATGTTTTGCAGGGTCATACTTACTGATGATTTCTTAATATAACTTGTATAAAAATTCACATTTTCTGAACAACACTTGACAATAACTAGAAAATATGTGCATAAATCAGTAATCATCAATAAATTCATGAATTTTAGTCCCTGAAGGGTACTGGTACTAAGTTGCTGAGGGTGCTTCTTGCTCATTTTGAGGATTTCTGATCATTAAAAGACCCTCAGCAGCACCCCTTCCAATTCTTAAAAGAAATCTTCCGAGTAGAATACAAACAAAGCTAAATCTCTTCTTATTACAGTGCTATAAAAGGCTTTGAAGTACCACTTTTAAAACCAWATGATGTAAAAGCAGCCAGCAAGTTTTTACTAAGCAGAGACTCAACAAGGCACATTATTTTCTCAGCAGAAACTCACAATTTCCCTACAGGTATTGTTTATTATTGCAAATTGATAAATAATTACAGTCAAGCTTGACAATGATATATGAAAATACAGGACGGTATAATTATATAATTATCTTTGATTTTTCKTAAGTTAATCACACAAATAATATGTGTATTTTCAGGTGTGGCTCCATTTCCTGGTGCAACAACTGGTACTGGTGGTCGTATTCGAGATGTCCAGGCAGCAGGCAGAGGGGCTCATGTTGTGGCAGGAACGGCTGGTTATTGTTTTGGAAATCTACATATTCCTGGTAAATTACTGAACTGCAAAAGAAAACATTGATATCTAAACAGAAATATTAAATTAGATGTTTTTTTTTTACTATTGTACTGTATAGTATAGCTGGAAGACTGACATGATAGTATATTGAAAGAGCCATAAACTATGTGAAATTTAAAGTTAAAAAAAATTAGCAAAATAGCCTTTTTTCCCTGCAACTTAGCATATGTGAGATGTTACTGTGTCAGCACAGTGTGTATGTCCTCTTATTAACACACTCTAATCAGCCAATCAGAGAGCAAGAATTTACACTATTGTGGTAAAAAATTGTTTGTAYAATGTAGGTTATGAATTACCTTGGGAAGAGGATGGCGGGACATACCCTAGTAATATGGCACCAGCTCTAGATGTTGCTGTCCAAGCAAGCAATGGAGCATCAGACTATGGTAACAAGTTTGGAGAACCTRTTGTGACTGGTTTTGCAAGATCCTTTGGAATGAATATGGCTGGTGATGAGAGGCGAGAGTGGATCAAGCCAATCATGTTTAGTGGTGGGATGGGAATGTTAGATGCTGAAAACATTTTGAAACTTCAACCTGAAATAGGTAAAAATAATTTTGAAGGCAGATCTGTAAAAATAATTTTAGAGGCAGATCTGGGTAATTGGTAATGAATTTGCTGCCTCTTAAGGCAATATGCTATCAAGATTGAAACATATCATAACATGACAAAATATGATAATACCTGTCAGGTACTTTTTTACATCAAAGTCAACATAATTAGAGCTAATAGCAATTTTTCATTTGTAATGATGGCAAGATTGTTTTTCAACTATTCATTGTATTCATTTATTAAAATCAAAGCAATTATCACCATGGAAACTTCAGAGATTTTATAAATGAGCTAAGATTAGGAAAGTCCCACATAGTTTTATCAAAGTACAGGGTAAGATTAGGGCAAGATTACAAATTTTAGTGTTGATAACATTTCATGGCATAAAATAACCTAAATAATTTACAATAGAATGTATGATAAACTCTTAACCTATATGATATARTTATTATTAGGTGTGCTACAAATTTTCAGTTAAAACATACAGAGAACCATTACACTGATTGTTGTGTTCTAGGAATGGAAGTWGTAAAAGTTGGAGGGCCTGTGTACAGAATAGGTGTAGGTGGTGGTGCAGCATCATCCATACAAGTTCAAGGYGACAATGTTGCTGATCTTGATTTTGGGGCTGTGCAGAGAGGAGATGCTGAAATGGARCAAAAGATGAACCGTGCAATCAGAGCCTGTTTGGAAATGGGTGCAAACCCTATTTGCAGCATTCATGACCAAGGAGCAGGGGGAAATGGTAAATACTTGTGGATATTTTATACTTTTAAATGCACCTAAGTGAGTTATCACTGCAGCTAGCAACAAAGTGGAAAGTACAGCTCAAAAATGCCAATGATACTGCTAGTAATGTTTCATTATATTTTTGTGGCTAGTGCCTAAGAGCCAGGCATAACCATGGAAATCAAGCAATGTCCACTTTCTGGCATTTGTCACACTGACCAGAACTATTATGTAATRATACCCTATTTATTAATTGATTTTCAAGGCAGTTGATTGGTAATRAAATGACAATTTTTTTGATAGATGAATGAGTAATTGATCTCATATTTGAAGGTAATGTGTTAAAAGAAATCTGTGAGCCTGCTGGTGCTGTCATTAGAGCCCAGGACTTCATTCTTGGTGACCCAACACTGTCCATTCTTGAACTGTGGGGAGCTGAGTACCAGGAAAGCAATGCTCTACTTGTCAAGAGAGAAGACATTCCTAAACTGAAGGAAATCAGCTTGAGAGAAAAAGTGCCTATTTCTGTGGTTGGAAGCATTACAGGTAAAGTGTATTTTTGTTTTACAATAGGAAAGGAAGAGAGAGACCTGGTAAGCAGGCTATGTTAACTGTTGGCTATGTTACATTATTCCTTTGTCTTCTTTTGATCAACTAGCAATGTTTTCAACTAATTAATTATAATTATTAGGATTAATACTGACATCACATTAAAAGGTACTGCTATTATAAAATCATAACGTAAGGCAGCAAAAGTCATGTCAGTGACGTCACAAGTCAGGTCACATGGAACTTTGATTTRAGTGTCACTGCTGGTACCCAGAAAATTCCAACTCTTTTTACATCGATTTATTGATGGTGTAAAAATTGTCAACATTTCATGTGTAATTCCGCATCTTTGTCTCAACCATTGAACGTATCACTTATGACAAATATCAAAGGGGTCTCTCAGTTGCACACCTGTGATCTTCCCGGAATCTACCTTGCTAGCAGAAGTGTTTTAGAAGGGTATCACGCCCGAATGTTATTTAATGCAATCTAACTTTGATACAAGGCGATGGCAGAATTGTACTCGAGGATAGCAAAGCAAATTCCAATGGCCAATGCATTGAAGATGATTTTGGAAAAGCTTCAAAGCGACAAAAGACAGAGGCAGCACATCCAGTAGACTTGGAGCTTGATGTCGTTCTCGGAAAGATGCCAAAAAAGGTAAAAAATGATAAAACGGATTTTTTTTGAATGATATTCACCCTGATTAATGAATCTATTTTGATTTGTGATTGGAAGGTTTTTAATCTGGATCGTGTCAAATCGACATTGAAGAATTTGGAATTAAATCAAGACCTCTCTGTCCATGACGCACTCAATAGAGTTTTGAGGCTGCCTTCTGTAGCAAGCAAACGATACCTCACAAATAAGGTAACTTGCAACTTATATTACAGATACAATGTAGATTTGGCAYTGGTAGTAATGTAGAGCTTCAAGCAATATGGTGTATTTTAGTGGGGATAACATCGGTAGCTTAGATAAGTGAGCCTTTTTTCACCATATTACAAACAACCTAGTCCATATTTTCCTTGACTTTTCATACTACAAAGGTCATACTAATGCTTTGTCAACTTTCGCTTGTAAATAGTTACTGTGAATTGAATTGCAAATCCCTGATTATGAATAAGAATGAAAAGATACGCAAAGCATTGTTGTTGTGATAGAAAAATGACGCTATTATGCAAATTAACTGTAATATTATAATTTATAGATCCATTGCATGTGATGTCATTCCCGCGRACTGCAATGGGTCTATTGTATATTTTGTTTGTTCTCTTCAGGTTGATCGCAGTGTTACAGGACTTATTGYGCAACAGCAATGTGTAGGTCCTCTGCACACCCCGTTAGCTGACGTGGCTGTAACAGCTTTATCACATTACGATATTAAAGGTTCAGCCACAGCTATTGGTGAACAACCAATCAAAATGCTTGTAGACCCAACTTGTGGAGCTCGTATGACTGTTGGTGAGGCTTTGACTAACCTTGTATTTGCAAAGATATCTGATTTGAAGGTGAGTATAGAATGGAATATTTTAATCCTATTGATTTAGGCGGCTCGAATATCTCGTCTATATAATTTYTCTTGGCAAGTATGTGAAAAGGCATTACGAAGCTTACTTTTTACGGATTCATTGTCCACAAGTTTAAACTACGACCATTCGAGGAAAATGCAAATGGTACACGCGTCAACCCGAACAAAAAAAGGCGGGAAAATTAGATCATTTTCAGAGGGAATTGAATTTTCCGAAAACTCCCGATGGAGATTGCGCAAACCATTCGAACCAAATTTTCAACAATTTTTAAGTTCTTTTTGACTCCTTTGAACAGGATGTCAAGTGCAGTGCCAACTGGATGTGGGCAGCTAAACTTCCTGGAGAGGGTGCAGCTCTATATGATGCATGTCATGCAATGTGCGACGTAATGGCCGAATTAGGTATTGCCGTTGATGGTGGCAAAGATTCACTAAGCATGGCAGCCCGTGTTGGTAAAAGAACTGTCAAAGCACCTGGTGCGCTTGTTGTGTCGGTTTATGCAGCATGTCCAGACATTAGGCAGAAAGTGACACCAGATTTAAAACTTCCTSGAAAAGGAAAACTCGTGTACGTAGATATGAGCAACTCCAAGAAGTACAGGCTTGGTGGCAGCGCATTGGCCCAGGTCTTTAATCAGATTGGCGATACTTGTCCAGATCTTGATGACGTCAAGGTAAAGTATGATAGGTGCTGCTCACCGTGTCATGCGTACAATATTTTAATTCTTTGGGTTAGTGACTCACTCAAATGTTACAGATGTCCCGAACCTCAGTAGTATAGTGCACTACACTTCTTCAGAAGTATTTAATCCCAGTACAAGCATGTCACTGAAAGTTTTACTACACTTACTGTGAATTCTTGAGCGCAGATTGACGAATTAGAGTGTGTCAATAGAGCGGATTTCAAATGACAGTGCAAAGGCACGGACCACAATATGGACACKACAMGACGCGGTCACGGAACCTTGCCTGGTAGTGGTGCCAAATAAAAATTGGGATTCAAGAACCTACCACCGTCATGGCACGCTGCGGTCACGTGACGAAAGTGCCGCGTTTTTTGCACATTCATGCGAAAACCGCTCTAACAGAGCGTTCACACTGGTTTGTCACTTTTATACTTTGAAATGATTTTCTTTTGAAATATTCTGAAAAGCAAATTGTATTGATGTCATACGATGTCCAAAACTTATCAACTCACTTGAGTTTTGAGAGGTTAAAGAGTACATAGGAATCAAGTAACTATGCAAAAATTGTTAAAGGTGCAATATTTTATGAAATATGTAAGAAGTACATTGCCAGATTGCGAAAATTACAATTTATTTATTTAATTATTATTTTTCAGTCTTTTGTTGCTGGTTTCAACGTAACGCAGTCTCTTATCGCTAAAAATCTTATCAGCTCTGGTCACGATGTCAGTGATGGTGGACTGGTAACTACACTTCTGGAGATGGCATTTGCTGGTAACAGTGGTTTAGAGGTCGACCTTAACTACATGTCCGGTGTTAGCCCGTGTGTTAGCAAAGCCGTAGATCTCTTGTTTGCAGAAGAACTCGGTTTAGTTCTAGAAGTCAGTCCAGAGAATCTTGAAGCTGTTCTCAATAGTTACAAGTCCAAAGGCGTCTCATGTTATGTAGTTGGCCAAACTGGGGAGTCAGGAGACGGTGCAGGGGTCTCCGTTACTGTTGACGGCTCTGTGGTTTTGCAAGAAAAAATGGTTGACCTGAGAGACACCTGGGAGGCAACAAGTTTTCAGTTAGAACGACTTCAGTGCAATCCACGGTGCGTTGAGGCAGAGGAAGCTGGTCTAAGACTCAGAAAAGCGCCGCCATATAAATTATCATTCCAACCAGAGGCATTTGCTCCAAAAGAGAACAACACCGCGCCTCCACAAATCGCTGTGATTAGAGAGGAGGGAAGTAACGGAGATCGTGAGATGGTTGCTGCTTTCCATATGGCCGGTTTCGAGGTGTGGGATGTTACAATGACCGACATCTGCAATGGTTCTGTGAAACTTAGCATGTTTCGTGGCGTTGTATTTGTTGGTGGCTTCAGCTACGCTGACGTCCTGGGCTCAGCAAAGGGTTGGGCAGCGGTTTGTCAAATGAATGAAACGGCTCGTCAAGAGTTTGAGGCGTTTTTCTCACGTGACGACACCTTTAGTCTAGGCATCTGCAATGGCTGTCAGCTCATGGGTCTTCTGGGATGGATTGGCTCAGATCCAAACGGCTCACACTCCGAATTATGCCCAACTCAAGGAGTTTGCTTTACTCATAATACCTCAGAACGGTTTGAGTCTCGATTTGTGACAGTCTCCATCGAAGCAAGCCCGGCCATTATGCTGAAAGGAATGGAAGGATCTACTTTAGGTGTTTGGGTAGCACACGGCGAGGGACGAGCTGAATTCCGTCGACCAGACATACTACAAGCCATTATCTCAAAAAATTTGGCTCCCGTACGCTATGTTGACGATGATGGTAAGAGCACAATGCAGTACCCTCTAAACCCAAATGGTGCTCCTGAAGGAATTGCCGCCCTCTGTTCTCCTAATGGCCGCCACTTGGCTATGATGCCGCATCCTGAAAGGTGCACCCTGCTGTGGCAATGGCCATGGATGCCAGAAGACTGGAGACAAGATCTGAAAGCATCGCCATGGCTCAAGATGTTTTGCAATGCGTACGACTGGTGTTTGGAACAGAGTCATGGTTAAGCAAAGATTTTCCTTCTTTTGATTCTATTCTCTTACTATTTTTCTAACTTGTAATATACTAAAATAGGTGGGGCTTTGCAGTGATAGAAAACAACATCCAAAACGAAATATTCATTAAGTCTTGAACTTACCATGAATAATGATTTCTAAATTAATATAAGTATTATAAAAACGATAAGTATAATCTCATCATTCACTTGAGGAAGCTTTTTATACTTGAAAATAAACATCCAATTTGTTCATTTTGTCGTCAGGTTTTTAGTGTTTAAATTGTTGACTTTTGGAAATCCCCCACATGTGAGCAATCATGTCGAATAAACCGGCTGCATAAATGCAGATTCACGTCTTTGCAAATTGAGGGCGGCCACTCATTTGACGAAAATAAAAATGCGGCAGTACTTGTGTATTGGAGAAAAACGAGTTTTGGAAAAATGTCTAGATAACTAGTGGCTGCCTGCTCGACCCCGTTTTGGATAGGTACGTGCCGCCAGTGGTCTAAATCCTGACCCTGTTTAAGACACTAAAAAGTAAAAATCCATACCCTGTTCAAGACAAATCGGAAAAATAAGGAATAGCTATCTACGCCGCAACCATCAAAACTGCAATTATACTGACATCCATCAAAGATAATAAAAAATAAAAAAAACGGTATTTCTACTATTTCTACGGTGTTATGAAAATATTACCCTGTCCAAGACACACAAAAAATTATATCGGTCTCTTTTATCTAAATTGTAGAGCCTGTTTAAGACAATTTCGGGTGAAGTATATACCCTGTTTAAGACAGCAAGGCCAAAAACCATACCCTGGCCAGCGGCACGTCCCCGTATAGCAAATATATGGGAGTACCCCCCCCCCCCCCCGGGAGTTTCCCCAGGTGCAGTTTACGCAAGAAATTAACATTTTTACTGGTACTTCAAAATGAGGCGTCCTCATAGCCCCAGTCGTCGCTACGACCTGCATTCGCTTATTTCAAGCCAGTTTTTGTTGTTTTTTTTTCAATCATTTTTGTCAATTCAAAAATGTCTCTGAAGGAAGGCCATTTTGTCGAGTTCCAGTTTCTTGGGCTCCCTGTACGCTACAACAGAAGCCAGGCTACGCGCAAGTAGCCTCGTTATGGATTATAAACCACGTGCTCAAATAAACCAATCAGAATCGAAAAGCGTGGCTTCCAAAGCGCCTTGCGCGTCGTGTATTCTTCCTCTTTGATCGATCATTCGTCTGCCGGTGAGGAAGAGAACTGTCCATCTTTTAGACATAAATCCAAGTACAGGACTTGCTACGATCCAAAGTAAGTTATACCTGTTTGAATTTAAAAAGGTTTATAAGTATTAAATAGTAAAAATAGCTTGTATAGACTCTATATTTCATGTGAAATTCGACTCTTCACTTAACACATAAAAAGCCGGTAACTCGGAGATTTCGAAGTAGTTTGAATACATTGAATTTCAAGATTTTGTTCCTCAATTCTCTGAAAATCAAATAGATTTACATCTTTAAGGGTAATTATTCGTTTCTTGTCCATTTGGGGATTGTCTTCATGGTGTAAATGGTGGATTTTTTGCTGTAGCTCGTCTCACGTGTTCGAAGCCGCCCCCAGATTTATGGACGTGTCGAATTCTTTAGCTCGATTTATGTCCATACTTACATTTTAAAATTATGAGTAAAGAAAATAGAAATATAAACAAATCATTCGATCCCTCATATTTAGGAACGCTCGCATCCATGACCATGGGACCTTTGATCGTCGGCGGATTGCGCAATCATTCGACGTAAACTCGTAAAAACCTTGTAGTTATTATTAATTTATTGGTAACTTTTTTTCTTGAGCTTTTGATCATCACTAAAAATCCCTATAGGCTTATTTTATATTTAGTTTTATAGTTTTTATCACCAATTAAAGAGAATTTTCTTCAATTATAATGGTCTAGTTTCATCTCAAATGTTCTTTCTGCTTTAAACTTATTTAGATGTCAAAAGCAGGAGGAAAGAAGCTTCATTTCGTTGAAAACTTTGGTCTCAGTGGAGCTGCTGCCATCATCTCCAAAACTGCTGCAGCACCCATTGAACGAGTCAAGCTTCTTGTCCAGAATCAAGATGAGATGTTAAAGCAGGGACGTCTAGAAACTCCATATAGAGGAGTTGTTGATTGTACTCTAAGAACGTACAGAACAGAAGGGTTTTTATCATTCTGGAGAGGTATGAAGTATATTTGTTTTATTTTCTTGTATGTAATATTAATAGCAATTTTTGTCCAAGAGGAATAAAATTCGAGTGAAAGATATCTTCCATGAAAAGCCCATGTGCATCCCAGAACCTTTCAAAGATTTTATCCTATTTCAAAATTTGTCATGTTTGATTTTGAACCAAAGCACCTTCCAACAAGAGATCATTTGTAAATCTTAAGTAACGATTGCAATTGTTCTTGGTTGCACATGGGGCTTTAATAGCAAAATTATGTATCATGCACACATAGGCTGTAATATGCATTGAAACTGTGGCTGATAAACATTAGCTTGGTGTGTAATCATAAGTTCAGTACATACTTCATGCAAGTTGTGTGTGCAAGTCTTGGCAACTAAAATTTGTGTATCTGAACAATGTTGAACTTCATCAATATTGAGGGAGTAAAACTTACAAAACATGTGTTGTACATGTAAACTTAAATTTGTTTGGATTTTGATTGTGTGAAATTTTGTCATTTTAGGTAATTTGGCTAACTGTATTAGATACTTTCCAACACAAGCCTTGAACTTTGCTTTCAAGGACCAGATTAAAGCTCTCTTTAAGCCCAAAAAGTCTGACAGTAGTCCTCTGAAGTTTGGAAAGAACATTGCTTCAGGAGGTGCTGCTGGTGCTATGTCTCTTCTCTTTGTTTACTCTCTTGATTACTGCCGAACAAGATTGGCAAATGACGCCAAGGCTGGAAAAGGTGGTGGAGAACGCCAGTTTAATGGAATGATTGATGTGTATCGCCAGACATTGAAGAGCGATGGCATCCCTGGATTGTACCGTGGTTTTGTTATCTCTTGTGTTGGTATTATTGTATACCGTGGTTTCTACTTTGGTCTGTATGACACCTTGAAGCCTATTCTCCTTGGTGAAGACGCTGGACTCTTGATCTCCTTCGTTCTTGGCTATGGTGTGACTGTATCTGCTGGTTTGGCATCATATCCTATTGATACCATCAGAAGACGTATGATGATGACATCAGGACAAGCAGTCAAGTACAAGGGATCAATCGATTGTACCGTCCAAATCCTCAAAAACGAGGGCGCAATGTCACTGATGAAGGGAGCTGGAGCCAACATTCTCAGAGGAATGGCTGGTGCTGGTGTGTTAGCTGGATTTGACAAGTTCAAGGAGCTGTATGTGTTTTACCGATTTAAAGAGTGAATTCACAAAGTAACTTAAAATGTGTCTATAAAATTGAGATTGCAGAGTGACATCAAATTACAAGAACATTCATTTTGTACATGTGAGGGTAATTGCTATGATTGTTTTGTATAGGAGTTTCAATGTTGCACAGTCACTATGTATATCATCATAGTTTTGACAATAAAACTCAAACAGGCTTGTGTCAAATAGTTGTGATGTTATTAAAAAAACTGACAGTGGCATACTAGCTTCTACAAGTTGAAATAAACAGATTTCTTGCTATACAATAACTCTCTTAGTATGAACTTGAATCTTGTTTTTGATGGCCATTTTGAAATAATGAGAGGTTGGTTACCAGTAATTCTCATACTCATTAATTATTCATGAGGTATCTAGCCAATCCCTGATTGTAATTTGTACCATGTGCAGTAACTGGATACCAGAGGAAGTACTCCTACCTTGTATTCTATCTTATTTCCAGTTACTTCCACCTTGTTTCTAGTTACTTCTATCTTATTTCCAGTTACTCTTACCTTGATTCTAGTTACTTCTAGCTTTTTCTAACTACTACTAGCTAATGATAATCAAAGTATTAGAAATAATCAACTTAATATAGAATTAATTTAGTGAAAAAAGGTCTTTGATAAATGACTCCCTCACGAAAAGATCCCGAACCGTACAATCTATATGCGCCGTATTATACCATTACACCACCGAGTTTCTGATGCGATTCYTTGGAAGATAACATACTTATAAAASTTATGAATTAGGCTCATTAGGAATGCCATGAAAAGCAAACAAAGACAATTTGAAAAGCTTTTGTTTCAGAAAGCCGTTCGGGAATTGGAAAACAACAAACGGTGCTTCTTTATTCAAAATTATGAAAACTGAAAACCTTGGTGGAGATGCAATAAATCAATATATTTATATGTATTTCCTTTGCTTTTTTCCCTCCCGAATAATTAATGAGTATGAGAAGTCGTTCAAAGTCCTCCAATTCGGACTGGACGAGATTTCAAGTCCTTGCAATTAGTTCCAGTCCTCGGCTAACTAATTGCGCGGACTTGAAACCCCGTCCAGTCCTCATGTTTAAACATTACATAACATACAGGATTTATATGGTCCTTGGATGACCTGGAAAGTCAGAATTTCAAAATTTTAGTTTTCCAGCCCTAAAAAGTCATGGAATTTTGTCAAGGGTCATTGAAAGTCATTGGAAATATTCTTGTTTGCCATCTTAAAATTTTTGTGTAAAAAGATAAATTTGACACCTTAAATAGGTGAAACAACTTACAAAGCGTTTCTATCTGCTGATGGCATTCCAATTTGCACTGTAATAAAATTCTATGACTTCTTGGGTCTGGAGATAAAAATTCCATTGTGCTCCAGATTCACACAAATCCTGCAAGTCCCAAGACAAGTCTGTTTTCAAATAAAGGACATTTGCTGTCAACTTTACTCTGTGGGAATCCTGTGTTACATCTTATACTGTAGGGGAAGTGGGTTAGGAAATATTCAGACTCTAGTTTTTCTCAGTAAGATAATCACTGACAGCAAGACCAAGAATAGCAGCTTGGAAGGAGGCTATGTTCTGTCATACCCCACCAGCCTCCTTTTAGCAGCTGCCCCTGTGTTACCACACAATGCTTCTCCCCAGAGTGACGACACAAGGGAGGCTGCTAAGAGGCCAATATCCCACACATTTTGCCTGTTTTTGTTTGCTTGGGCATTGTGTTCTCATATTTTTAAAATAATGTAATGCAGTTTTTTCCTTTCGTCATGAGGATGACCCAGATTGGTCGAAAGCTTGAAAAAAAAATCAATAAAAAAGGTCTAAGCATCAACCTATAAACAAGATGTTTGTTGAACAAGATGTTTGTTGAAGCAATTACTGCAAGTAAATGAAACTGAGTGATTCAGAAGGCTATAGTTTTGCATCCCAAGATTGAATTTCAGCCAAATTGGCCTTAATTCAGCAAATGCCAGTAACGGAAAAACAAATGCTTTGCTATTATTAATTTTAATCAAAAACATTTCTAAAACATAGATTAATGGTCTACAGGAGTACATTTTATTTTGATCAGCAACAAATATAGCTGTTATTAATTTACTGTCTTGTTGGTGAATTTAACAAAACAAAATCAACTTTTTTTAGTCTTGATAGTTTCTTTACCTGATGAGATGTAATGCTGAGGAAAAATTATGCAAACTAAAATTGAAAATGAAAATTGATTTTTATGATTTCCTTATTAATTTGCATAATTTTTCAACTACATCATACACTTTAAGTGAAATACTGGAGCATGTTTTATTCTAGAGATGGAACTGGCAAGAGTCAATACCCATATGGTCCCATGCTTTCAAATGGTCTATTTGTGTCAATAATTTAACATTTTATTCATTAATCTATTTATCCACATCTAGTTTCTCCATTTGTTGTTCTAAACATCCTGATTGTGCTCCTTCCTTATTCCCTTTTTTCTTGTTTTTCTTCTTTTGTTTTTTGGCCTCTGGTTTTTCATCAATAGGTGCTGGTTTGACGAACTTCATGAAGTGAAGGTCTGTAGGAAGGTAAGGATGAAGGATTTGTGGCATACGGACGCCATCCTCTTCTTGGCAATTCTCTAGTATTGCACAGATCACTCTTGAGACGGCGCACATGGTAGCATTCAACATGTGGACATATTCCGTCTGAAAAATAATGAACATCAGGTTGGAGCAATGCTTCAGTTTTATTCAAAAATCATATGAAAAGAAATATCAAAAATAACCTTTTTAATTAATATTAAGCCCAGTACATTTCCTGGAATTTAATGTCACAGAGACACCTTTCTTTACAATTAAATTCATTTTRACTGAGAAAGGAAGAAAAAACCTAATGGATCTCAAAACAAACTCAAAAATTGACTCTTCTGTTCCCTCCAAACATTGCAGACTTGTCACGTCCCTAAAAGTTGAATTCTTACAATTTCAACTATAGTTTTTCAATGGTGACTTACACTTGCTCCCATTTTTTTAGTCTGTCCATATCGCACTTGTAGTCTTCTTGCCTGGTAGTCAGTACAATTAGAACATGACACCAACTCTCTAAAAGCACCACTGGCTGGAAACCAGGCTTCAAGGTCAAGCTTCTTAGCTGCAGCATTATTTAAAGCACCTATGGTGGAAAAAAAATCAAATGAACTGAGCTGAAAACTATTGTTAACGATTGTTCAATTGATATTATTCTGATCATTACTGACTACAATATCAAGGTTCAAAGATGTTATTTGCAATAGCCATCATTGTTTTCCTTCCAAAAGCAGAAAATATGATAAATACAGCTGTTAATAGACAACTAATAAATGCAACATTCATTGTACTAAACCAAGGTTGAGCAGTAAAACATGATACAATGTTTTATTGTATAATCCATATTTATCACCACTCAAGTCATCAAAGCTTTTCTAAAAACTCAAGATACAGATTCAAGCCCTGAAAAACCTGCATTCATCCAGCTCACACACTCCAGGTAAAAAAGCTTTAAAAGAAATGCATCTACTTCCAGTTTTTTTGCTCTTTCACTGGTGTTGGGATATATGATAAAATGCTTATTGACTGAGCCAAATACTTTCCAGCATAGCCCACCTTCCACCCAGTCAATAAATTACATCGTTTTAATATTTATCACTTATTATTAATAATTTATGAAATTTCCCATATCTTACCAGAAACAATATTGACTATTCTATATGGAATTCCAAGAGACTTTGTAAACTCTTCAGCATTGTTAACCATCTCATCAAACATTTCCCATGAAACATTGTCATGTGGAGAACAGATTACAAATTGCTCCACCTAATAAACCACAAAKAAAAAATCATTGACAATCATATCATAAATTTATAATTTTTGTCTTATATGTACTGACAGATTTATTCTGGCAGCTAACTTATTTTAATTATTTCAATTTTTCAAATTGAAACCTATCATTGTAATAAAACTGGAAATAAACAAAATTTCAAAATATTTGAATGSTTTGCAATCTGAACATTTTAGCGAGAAAAGAGTACCCTGGTTCCAGAGTCTGGGCTTGYAGTCTCTTATTATTGTTGAGCCAAGTTAGTTGCTATTTTTTCAATGCCAAAGCCTCTGGTTTTAAGCATAGACAATCTCTCCTGTTGTATTTTAGCTTTCAAACATATCAAATATGAATTAACCAATAGGAGTTCATCTCAGATAGCACATCTCATTACTCTGATCCATGATTTGTTCMTGACATAAAATCTCAAGCAACTTGCTCWGCAAARCCACARAAGACAAGTTGYTGAGGAAATAAATTGCACAGTGTAACACTGTCTTCTTTACCTTTTCAAACTGGTGAACTCTGAAAATGCCACGTGTATCACGTCCATGGGCACCAACTTCCTGCCTGAAGCACGAGGAAAAACCAGCATAYTTCTTGGGTAAATCATTCTTGTCCATCCATTCACCACGGTGGAAGGCAGCAATAGGTTGTTCACTGGTTGCAATCAGGTATTTCTCTTCATAACCAGCTTCATCAGCACCTTTGCCAATGACCTATTCGTCAAAAGACATAATTTATTTAATGTATTATTTTTATATATTGAACTTAATAATATATTATGAACTGTGCATGCGCACACATTAAAGGGACATGGTCCACCAGCATCCCTTTCCAGCTTTTGTTTATGTTTGAAAATAGAAATACATCGTAATATAAGCAAAAACTTACTCTTTATTATTCCTTTATCCTATATGAATGGAGATGCTTTAAGATTCGACCGTTAAACCAATGAATGGAAGTGGATTGCAAATGGATATTCGAAGTCACCTCATTTTTCATATATGAAAAATCTAAAACACGACCTCATTGCATGCTAGTGGACCATGTCCCTTTAAAACACTTTTCAAGCTGAACAAAAGGGACTTCTCTACTAAACTATCAAACAKATACCTTGTACAATTCTTCATCAAACTGACTAAGCTGTGCCACTTCTTGCATGACTTCTTTCCTCATGAAGTATGGTGTGCTTAGTGGCACAAATCCTCTTTCATAGAGCATTCTTGTAGCATGTTGAATTAGGGCATGTTCTAAAAACACTAATGGTCCCTGAGACAAAATAATTGGTAATTTGTATTATTAATTATAATTTGAAGTCTTGCTAAGAATAATGAATTGAAGTCTGGCTAACAAAATACAACAGATGTATCTTCTGTCACAGACATTACATCACTTGACTGTAAGGTCAAGCTGGTCATTCCTCAAAACAGTTTTCAATGTTTAATTTTAAAATAAATTAGAAACAAACAAACATGTAAAGCCACACCAACAATAAATTATATCATAATACATGTAGGTAGCAGTACTGTATCAGGCATGTCGAAATTATGCGCGGATGCGGACGCGCATAATTGCCCCCTTTCCGCATAATTTACCAAATCGCGCATAATCGCGCATAATTCATGATTTTTTTCCATGTTATACCATTTTTTAAGATGAATTGCCTTCTACTAATGTTTTTTGGATCAAAAAACCCTCCCAAACATGCTTATAAGGCCTTATAATTTTCCGAATATAGTTTTGTTTTCGTGGGCTTCACGAATGTACCAGGAGTTCAGAATTTCATCAAAAAGAGTCTGGGCACTAGCATTAGCGGTCACCCTGTGCCTTACCAGATCACGTGACAAATTCCAATATGGCGTATGATACAAGTGGGTCGTAAGCGTGCGAGAACGAAAAAGTCTAAAAAGATCTTTCCTTCGGTTGGTACTGCCTTCTATACTTCGTAACTAAGATAAAAACGGAGTTTTGCATGAAAACAAAACACAATAACTTAAAAATTTGTAAAATTTCCCAAAGTTTACATTCCTGTGATGATGTCATCCCGCATAATTTTCCACATAATTCACCCTTTTCTCCGCATAATATGAGGGAAAATTTCCGCATAATTTTGATTTTTTTCGCGCATAATTCCGACATGCCTGCTGTATATACGTTTTAAAAAATATTCTTTTATAATGAAACTGCTATAACATCGTATCCAGGCATGAAAGAAAACAAAATGTTTTTGAGAAAATGTCAATAACTGACTTGTCACCTTTAGAAAATACCCTCTTCCTCCAGCAACTGCAGACCCTCTCTCAGTGTCWACACCATCTACCATATGAACCAAGTCAACGTGAGAATATTTCTTGTGGACAGAACTGTCCCCAAATGTCCTTTCTATTGGGTTTTCATCCTAGAGAACAGAATGTTTCTCACTAAATCTAATACACTGTAATATTGTGAATGTAAAACACAGCAAAGGGTCAGACATTGTTTGATCACAAATTCAAAATTTATGTGTAGCCAAATCTTTGGTAGAGTCTCAATACTTAGTTGTTCTCAAGCCTATTATAATCATTAAAGGGACYGTCTATGCTATATTTGAAAAAAAAGAAGTTCAATTGATTATTTTAACCATAATAACTTTAGTCCCTTTAAGAAATGAAGTGATATTATTTTAACAATTCTTGTGTTACTTTTTATATCAACAAAAATTAGCCCAAAATATAAATTAAGTATGAAGTTATTCCATGCTATACCTCATCGTTGCTGATATGGACAGAGTCATGGAGCCAATTGCCCACTTCAAAGAGCTTGTCATTTCTCAGCTTTTCAAGACGGACAACTTCAACATTACATTTCTCCATGCCTTCATCTACCAAGCCACGRACCATCTTGATCTGGGTAACTGTCAGATTCTTTAAAAGGRAAAACGCAAAACAATATAAATYTRTGCTATCATGAGTTTTGTGCACTATAAATATAACCTTCCCTTAGTTAATGAAATATTGATAATCTCTTTGRCTGACATCCCTCCCTCAGGAATAGCAGAAGGGAAAATTACATTATAATAGTTCTCATATCCGATCATTAATTTGTTGCCTTGAGACTCTTTCTAAACTTACATCAGCATTATCTAAATCACTAAAAATACTCAGTACCATGGTATCAATCAAAATATCTTTCAATTTCAGCCATACCTGCATATCTTCAGGAGTGAGTGTCTCAAGTTTTTCTAAAATCTCTGGAGGCAAAACATCACTGCTTCCAACTGGTTCCTTTTTCTATTAATAATYATATACATCAACATTGATAAGCACAAGTTTACTAATTGTAAAAATTCATTATGACAAAAATTATTACAAAACATTACAAAAGTGAGAGAAACAAATAAAATGTCCAAGGTGGTGAGTGCTTGAGCAAGAGTTTATTTAGCAAATTTGTCACCATCAAGTTGTTAGACAACCTGTAAACTTCTGGAAATTTCTGAAAAATAACTCACACGTTTACCATAGAGAACRTTTGAAATTTCAGAGCAAGTATCTGCAATTTTTACTTGAAAATCAACATAGAAATGGCAGACTTTTTACAGGTGCAATACGATTACTGAAAATATTGCAGCTTATGACACATTGCAAAATTTCYAGTGCAAACTTGCCTCTAAAAGGCAGAGATATATACAAAAAAAACTTGCCACACAACATTGTTTCTGTCTTACGAGAAAGTCTACTAATAGAAAGTATAAATGCAGTGTTTGTATGGGAGGAAAAACGGGGTTCTGAAAAGCTGTCTGTATGTAGAACTGCCGGTTTACAGGAGCGTCTGTAATGGCAATTCAACTGTAATTGCAACTTGTCAATTATTTTTTCCTGAACAGCTGAAAATTTGGTGGCCTGGCATTTGTCCTGGCAGGTCAAGAAAAAAAAAATGAACCTGGTAAAAACAGAATTAAAACAAAATCAAATTAAAAAAATGCAAAAATTCAACTTATATGATTGAAATGATTAAAAAAATTACTGACATGMGGTGAAGCTCTTGAAAACACCAAGAAAACTAACCTCGCGAATAAAAAGGTCAAAAGACCAACAATAGTTACTTGTGTGTGATTTCTGCGCATTCTTTCAAGAGAAAAAGTGGTTGCCCTTCCCAACACTTTCAATATAAAATAAGTTAAGCTTAAACCACAAACGTTCATTTGAACAAAATGCTTCTTCTGATCACATTATGGACAAATATTATAATATAATCACTCCAATGTACCAGAACAATGTGAATTTGAATGCTGTATTGTATTGAATACTTGAATACAAATCATCACATAGAGTAAAGCTTAACACGTGTGAAGTACAAATCTACACAGGCAACCCTAACACCAACCTTCATTTTTTCACCAATTTGCTTGCTGCACAAATTTCTAAGTTTATTCCAGTTGTCCATTGAGAAACGAACTACAAGAAATAGAAATACTCAATTACTAAAGCGTACACATTTAATTCATTTAGAAGGAGTGAATCGGTCATATTTCTTACTTTTTCTCCATTGAGAATCGGCTTCGACGACTTGGTCTACCAATGTTACATCAGAATATCTTTTGCTTTGGTTTTCACGTATTTTGTCAGGATTCCCGCCTTTATCAACCCTGAAGAGATCGAGATCAAGAACCATCTTGGAGGAAGATTTGTTAAAAAACCTTGAAAATTGAGATGTAAACTGTGAAATAACAATCTGATGCAACCTGCCGACATAAACCCGGTGCATGACCAGTGGCTCGAGAGACTGGGCACCAATGTTATTTGCTTGTATTGGGCTTCCTGTGCATAATGATATTTTGTATTTTTCCCATTTTCACAGGCCTGAGATTTAATGAATTGGTCTCCAGTTCTTTTRACCTTATTTGATTAAAGGGTTTGACAGCAAAATTGCACAAGTTTGTTTTGGATTCATACTGACCAAACTGGTGGACTATCCACAAAATTGGAGACCTATAATGTGTGATTTCTTGGCCGTTATTCCACCAGCTGCAGATGTGATGTGCTCAGTGCGATGCATTTCACCTTCCCCCAGGGCTTTCAACCCGAGATCCATTCTTATCTGTATATATTTTTCGAATGCACATTTTTTTCATTTTGCTAAACCATCCACAAATCAGGTCCAATTAAATATAATTAAAAAGCATGAGTTTCCCCTTTCCTTGAAACAGACAAAAAAATTCAGTATGATAAAACTGGTTAGCCTTTTCTGCAGCCTCGCTTTTTTTCTTTTTTTTTTAAATAAATTATTTAAGATTTATTATTAAGAAGTATTAGTGTAACACCTTTTGCACAGTTTTTTTTTTACTTTACTGAGGAATTTGCATGGTTCTATTTCTACATTACAATTAATTGTAAAAATAATTTGCAGTTTAGATTATTGTCTCTTAGTTCGTGTGACTATTTTTGTAGCTTCACATTATCAAATAATATTAAATTACATAAAAAACAAATCTATTACACATTTGTCATTTATARTGTCAGAGTCTATTTCATTTAATATAATAGCTATAGATAAGTGTGTCTAAACACATATATTTATTCACTTCAGTTTTATGCTGTTCCAATGTAGTTTGTGGCTTTTCCTGTTTTCTTGATTATTTCTAGCAGTTTATCTGAAGGCAGGTCAGAAGTCACATAAACTCGCTGYTTTTCCATATCAATATCAACCTTTGATACCTCTAAAAAACAAGAATGCACAAATACTTCATCAAATATTACCCAACACATGTGCCTAAACTTGTTTCTTTTTCTCTTTTCTCCTAAAAGTATTATTACCTGGAACTTTCCCTAAAACCCTTTCAACTGCTCCTGAACATCCACCACAGGTCATCTCAACACTGAATTCATGTTTCTAAAAATAAATATAAAGATATAGGATAGAGGTTGCTTTTGATATTCTGTTTTTTCATACGTATAAGAACTGAGGACGAGGCACTGAGGAAACAAAACAGTTGAAGAAAATTGCTTTTGAATATTAGATGTTGCTTCCATGGAGCCTTTTGTTTGTGCCTATATACACCCAAAACTTTGAAAGTGGATTTTTTGATTTCTGGGCATAATTTTGACCATAGATATCAACCATAGAGTCTGGTAATAATTTGCTATGATTCTTAATTGTATTTTCACACATATACATTCTTCAAAGATCAACTTGTTCTATAGTCTATACACATCATATTTTCAAGAAAAGATTGTTTGTACAGCTTAGTTTCTTTAAAGAAACCAAGGCATGGGAAATATATCATATGACACTGATACACGTAAGCTTAAATACTTCAGAGAAAACAACAAGAAGGCTTAAACTTAAAAWATTCACAAAATAGATCTTTTATATCAAATTCCAAAGTACCAAATCTCCAAACATTTGAAATTCACAATATTCAAAAACATTGTTTGAGTATTAAGTTAAAGACTGAAAATGAGCTATAAGCTTACTAGAATTTTGATCAGCTGAAGTAGCTGAGACGATTCCTCAATTAACGATCTTCAATCAAACTTGTAACTTCTATTATCTTATGTCTCCACTTACCGTTGCCATTTCTTTTTGGGTATTGCGATGTCTCAGAGTTAGTTTTTTCCACTAAGATGCAAAGCACGGCCAAAAATCACAACAAAAGTCCAATCTCGTACCCAGAGCCCGCACTTTTGGCATCCAGCGGAAGCCAGACCGCTGACATTAGGCTGCACGACCCATCCATCCAGTGTGTTGAACGCTTTTCTCATCCCTTTTCTGCTATTTTGCGGGACTTACATATTAGCGAGTTTATAGCGCAAACYTTACTTCGCGAATGTTGAGAAATGAAGTTACGCGGACTTTTCTTGTATTGAGTATAAAGGGTTAGTTTAGCGAATTTTTTTTATTAGTCTTAGTCATGTACTAATAGATATTTTTGCAAAGTTCGCGAAAATATTAATTCCCGTCGTAACGGTTCAGACAGACTTTTTGGCGATGTGATTCAATTCTTCACTATACTACCACTMAAAATTTAAATGGACTTTGAGAGAGTTGGGGTGATTTCGAGGGATTGTGGGTCCCAGAAATAAGTGTTACGTTCACAAAATGACCAAGTTATGAAATCATCATGCTGGTCACTGGTTTGGCAAATTAAAGGTAGATGTCCCCGCCCACCCCCTCTTTCACACCCCTCCCCCCTCCCTCCCTTCGTTCATTATCTTGGACACTAATTTTTACCCCTCCCATGCTCAATTTCAGTCTTAGATTTGATGACGTAACAATAGAAAATGAACAAATATAYAAACATCAACAAAAATATTTATTTAAGATATGTAATACTATACAAAATTTTAATTGCTATTTACATGTAGAGAGTGCTTGGCAGTAGGCCAAGCACACGAGAAGTTTATTATCTAAGTTAAAAATGGTACTTATTTACAATTAGAGAGTGCTCGCTAAGCGAAGCACACAAGATTTGTAATTTACATGCATTTTAGAGCGTGCTTCGCAGTAGGAGAAGCACACAAGATTGATCTAGTTTATTTTTGCTATACTATCAGTCTAAATCCTATACTTTTCTTTAATCTKCAAATATGATTAATAAAAGTTCTTAAAAKAAGACAGGAACTTCTGGCCAGCAGCTTAATCTTTGACGTTTGCCGACTGCGACACTGGAACCACGTTTCCTCTTCCTTGAGGAAGTGACGTCATGCCTGACGTTTGAACACGTGGTTAAGCTTTCAGCAACGTCATGATCAAATAGATCAAATTTGAYTTCTGGTTCCGTCTTTGAGAATAAGAACATATCAGGTACATATTCATCCAATGGTTCTGATGGTGTAGGCGTTGGCTCTTTGCCTGACGCACCATTGGATGGCTTACTCACAGAGATATTTGTCTCAGAGCTCTGCTGACCAACAAGCGTTTCAGGCTCAATGTTGTCAAGCAATTCCATCAGCTCTGAGAATTCATTGCTGGAGAKCACTTCACTGACATCATTGTCAGATGACGGAACCTCTGGAGGGAGGTACATATTACACATGGTGTCAATGTCTATATCGTTATATGTGTCCTCAAAGAGATCTTTGGTATCAGATAGATCAAGACCAAATATCTCCTCAAGACTGCATGATTGATGTACCTACAAAAAAATGTTTGAAAAATTATCAGTCGTTATCCACAAATCATAAAACGATCCASAAAAGAAACCAAAATAACCATAAATCTACGCTTACAACGCTGTTTTCAAGCGATAGCTAAAAGGAATCATTGATTATCAGAACTCCAATAGTAGTTACCTCATTTTCACCTCCAGGGGTCTTGTTTTCCAGATTGTCTGCCGCAGGTTTGGCATTTTCACTGCATGACTGAACACCAACATCAACAGTGACGTCAGGTGAGTTTATTTCTGAGGCAGCAACTGGCTCTTCAATGCGTATATCACCACGAGCAAAAGCAGTTTGCAAATCTGATGCTTCTGCAAGTAGTTGGGACATGGAATTCAATGCATCCTCAACCTGTTGATTGTAATCATTACGCATGCGTAAGTAATCAGGCAATAACTTGCAATTAAGATATGCGTGCAATTAAACGTGAAAAAAAAACAACATCGAAAAACAGTACAAATTTGGAAATTTTGAAATGAAGCAAAGCTATCTTTTATTAGAGCCATTCTATCTATTAATAGTCTGCTATATCCCTATATTTCTTCGTATTCAAGATGGGGCAGTATCAGTATATTAGCAATCAGGCTATCTATAATAAAAACTAAATGATATATTGATTTACCTCATCTACACGTGCTGGATGTGACACTGATCTGACAGAGCTTTTAGGATATTCAGCCCTCTCAGAATTGATAGATCYAAGTAAACTTTGGTTACCTTTTGATAAAAAAAACAAGCACAATTTTTTAATGATTATTTAATTAGGCCACTCGGACTCGTAAACTACGAGTTGATASTCCATTCGGTGGTTTATTAGTATTTACCAAACTATAGGATAAATTAAACCACGCGAATAACAATTTTTCTCGGATTTTTTCGGCTATTTTTATTCCATTTTATCAATCATGGTATAAATTATACCATAGTTCGGTAGCCAATCAGAATGCTGGATTTATAATATCCCATAGTTTGGTGGATACTATTAAAATGAAACATATAGTCTGGATGCATAAAGACCACTTCTTAATTTCAAGACCTGCGTGGAGTGTTTTTTTTTTTTTAATCACATGGATAATTTTCAGACCCTATCCATGTACTCTACAATGCGTTCTCGTGTCCTTTTTTATATAGTTTCATAAATTTCGATTATTCTTTTGCGGAATAGTGAGCAGTTCAAAACACTCTATATATGACAACGCATTGTAGAGTACATGGAAAGGCCTGATAAAAGCAGTTCTAAAGAGTGTTCATGCTACTTACTTGGCTTAGCACGTGTACTGCTTGCGGTTCCAGTATGGCTGGGAATGAATGGCACGAGGGTAAATATGGATGCAATTTGCGGAAACGCGCCATATTGTACTACTGGAACACCGACTGGTTGTTGWACTAGTTTAGYATTGTATCGTTGTGCAGCTTTTATAGCCACACGGTTGTAAGATCTGCGAGTAACAGATTGTTTCTTCTCCTGTTTACCTAAAAAGGTAGTTGTCGCCAGCGAGTATTGTATGTCATGTGGCAAATACAGTCGTTTAGCGACCGTGTTGCCCTAAGACAAAACAAAGACAGTGTTGGTAATAGTAAAGATAAACAATTTAGGTTACAGTCGGGCTGTCGAATTTTCAAATGCTAATCAATTCAGTGCTTTAATTTTCTATTCCGAATTGTTCAAAGCTCGATCTATTAGCTATGACACTGGTTTATTTTTGTAAATTTTCGTGAGTGGCTCTCGTAAAAATAATGGGCCGCGTTTATACTCTTCAGCAATAACAATGTTGCGCGACACTGAATAAGTTAACGTTTTCTGTACCTCGTATACTTCTTGGCATTTACTAGAAGCCGAAAATGAGAATTCTCTACGAACTACGCGCTTGCGAAGCGAAATATTAGAGAAACTACCTTCTACACTGCGCTAATCGAAATATAGGTAGAATCTTTTACCATAATGAGCGCAAAAATAWAAAGAACACTATGTTCTAGGTATGAAATAAATTGATTCAGTTTTACCAATTTTAAATTACGAACTTTATTTATGCTTTCTCTCAATGAAAGCATGCCAAGTCTAGTACTTAGGCTACCTGTGATCGAGCTTTGAACAATCCGCCCATGGTAATTTACAAATATAGATGTTTTTAAGATTAAGTTCAGAAAAGAAAATTTTCAAACAAAGTTGCGCATTATATTTTAATTCAAAATGTACACATACAAACTTAATGGAAGTGAAAGCTGTGGAGTCAAACTAACCTTAAACTCGCTGCGCACAGCTTTAGTTGGTGTCGCTTGTGAATTGAAGGTAGCTTTACTACCGCGACACCCAAAACTAGTGCGAACAAGCAAAGCAAAACTTAGAGTTTTTCGCTTTAAACACATTTTTTATAAAATCATACTATACAATAATCTACATTACTGCAAACATTCGTAAGATAGAATCTAACTCACGTAAAAACAGGAGSGATTTGAGCCATTGTCAAGTTTTATTTTGTATTATTCGTGATATGAGTGTTCAGACGTGTTTTACAGGTTTGACCAGTCAACGGTTTTTTGCAAAACTGARAAGGTTGTCTTGGAAATGGGAGTTTTATTTACCAAAACGATCACGTGATGCTGACGCCAGCAATCCCAAGCACCATTGCACTGTTGATGTTGTTATGGTGAATGAGTAGTGATTGGTCGATGAGTTTAAATCGTCACCACGCGCGGGTAGCACGYGCTTTTTGATGGCCACGTACCGAAGAGCGCGCTCGCCGAAAGACTCCCTTGAGCCTCGTTGTCAGATCTTTTAGAAGAGAAGCCCTGACAACGAGGTTGCTCTGAAAGCAATAACAGCAGGTTGTCATTAACTTGGTTGCCATACATCTTCTAGTTCAAAGCCATAAAATYTTATTCCACAAGAAATGCACTATTTCATTGCTAGTGTTTTGRGTAAGGCCTTTCCACGAGAAGTTGTTGTAAATTATTTGAAAGATTTGAGCGAGACTAATAACTGCTATCACGTGCTATCATCAAATAATGAGTAAGATTACTGAAGCGCTAAATTTTCAGGTATGTTTGTTTGTTGAAAGGCAGTGTTCAATATTTATTTGACGACTTTTGTTTAAAACATCCCTTTCACTTATCATTTGGGTTTCCTGTGCGCTACAATTAACCTGCGGTTTCCTAGTACAGCGGTATTTCTGCGCGTTGTATTGACGTCATAATCGTTAATCAAATCACTCGCCTGGTATCTTCGATACAGTTAGGAG